CCCTTTCTCCACCCAGTGAGGATAGGGAGGCATTTGTCTGCACTCCAGAAAACCCTTTCCAGAGCCCGGCCCTGCTGGCCCTTGACCTCTGCCTCCAGATTGCTCTGGATATTTCTCCAGGGTGTGGGGGGATTGAGTCCTGCTGTTCGTTAGCCAGATTGTCTCAGGAAATCTTGCTGTGGCAGCCTGGGCTAAGATCTAGCGTGTGAAGCAGACCCGAGGAAGCCCGGTGTGAGCAGAGGCCCCAGGACCAGATGCCTGAGATGAGAGACAACAGGGCCAAGGCCGCTCACTGGAACTTCCCGGGCCGCTCACTGACTTCCCAGGCCGCTCACTGACTTCCCAGGCCGCTCACTGATTTTCCAGGCCGCTCACTGGAACTTCCCGGGCTGTTCACTGACTTCCCAGGCCGCTCACTGGAACTTCCCAGGCCGCTCACTGGAACTTTCTGGGCCAGACTTCTCTCACGACAGTGTTTGAATTTAACCCTCGATAAATGCTCAATCAATACCTTCTCCCCACCCGGGGTCCACGTGGGCTGCCCCTGGAGACACCATAGGGGCTTCTTGTGGATGGCTGAGAAGCAGGAGCACCGACTCATCTTGGAGGGCCGGGCCAGCAGCTCACAAGATGGAGGTGCTGCCCAGGAAAGCAGTGTCAACTGGGCCAGATGGGGATTTGACTGCAGTAGCGTGCATGGGCACACACGCATGTGCTCACACACACAGTGCTCTAACGATAAGGAGCCATCTGGGACAGGCTGGCATCGCTCTTCACGTTTTGCTTTTTACCCTAATCCTGTTCTCAGCGATGTGCCTCTACCCAGGGCCCTGCCAGCAGCGACTTTTCTTCTCTCTCTCACACACGTTCCAGAAGTTTCTCCACTCAGGTATCCCTGCCAGTAGAGACCTAGCTGTGTCTCTGGAAGTCTCCACGCTCACGCTTGTGTGAAGTGTTTTCGCAGGCTCAGAGGGCTGCAGGCTCTGCAGTGAAATGAGCAAGCCGAGCGGCAACGTGGAAGAGAAAAGCCTGGTGGGAGCTAGGAGAGGAGGCGGCATCCTGCAGATAAAACCAAGGAAACTGAGAAAGTAGCTAATGTCCCCACTACCCAGGGCTTGTCCACTCACACAAGCCACACGCGCTGACTGCACCCGGACACCAGAGCCACAGAGACTCACGGCACAAGTACAAAGATGCACAGCCCACACAGCACCCCCCCACACATACAACCCTCAGACACCATGACACACACATACCTGCACAATGTGTTTACACACACTATATTGCATCTCATAGCACACCTGATTATACACAACACGCTCAGCCACAGTGACACCACTGTGTTACGTGACTGTGACTGTGGTGCAGCACAATGCACCACCACTACAAAGGTGCAGCCATGACCAGAGGCCTGGAGCTCCCCAGAGCTGTGCTCCGGAAGGCCCCTCTTCAGCCTCACCAGTGGCTCCTGCCTGACACAGAGCTACACCTTGTTGGCATCCCAAGGGTATAGGCAGGGTGTGGAGGGGGCCGAGGGCCCACTCCTCCCCCCCCCCGTGCAGGGGACAAGGAAGAGAAGCCAGCTTACATTTCCCCCAAATGGTGCACACATGCACACACCACACATGCACCATGTGTTCACATGTACCCACATACAATACTAGAGCTGTTTGTAAGAAACCTTTTGAGAGTTTTCTATTAATTCAAAAATCATGAAGACCAATACGGTCCAAGACAAACCCTTGGTCAGTCAGGCTTTAGACAGGATTAGTGGCTTGCAGAATAAATACTTGAAGCACATGGGCAGCTGTGCGTGACCAGGGATGGAGGTAACTGGTATAACCTGGCCCCTTCCCTGCGTGCGGGAGCCGGGCACACTACGGGCACCCGGCTTTCTGTCCTGGTGTGACTCAAGACCGGGGCCCTCCCATCTCAAGGGTTTAGGAAGAGGGCATCCTTGAAGAATGAGGAAGTGGAAATCAACACTCATCCCAGGAGATGGTGAAGAAAAATCTGGCCAGCTCAACCACAGAGCGAGATGCCAGAGTTCGGGGCTGTGGGCCAGAGTGACGGAGGAAGTCTTTCCATGTCCGGAGAAGCTCCCGAGCGCTGCGGTGCAGACATGCCACCACGGACGCATCCTCTGCTTTCTGCCCTGCTGGGATCCTAGCTCCACACAGAGCGGTTGGGAGCACATCTGACTTTGCGGAATTATCATCCGCGCCTGGCCCTCTTCCCAAGCTTTCTGGCGCCAGGGCCAGCCTGTTCGAAGATCACAACTCAAATAAAATCTGTTGACTAGTAGAATATCCATTTTCACTTAAAAATACAATCATCAGGAACCTAATGTAATCTAACCCCGGAGCATGGGTAACGTGTGTATCTACTCAGCTGGCGGCTTCACTGTCCCTTTGAATAGGGTGGGGCCCTTGCTCACACTGCACATGGGGGAATCCACGGGGGCCCCTTCCAAGCCCTCCTTTCAGAATCTCTGCTGGTGTGGGAAGCATTGCCGGGCCAAAATAGTTGGCAAACATTGAGATCGTAAAGGTTGAGGTCAGAGTTTCACAGTGCATACCAAAATAGTAACTAGATTTATTTATGGAGTCACTTCTCACTTCTTTGTGTCGGTCTGGGGTGATGGCAGCGTATTCAGGGCCGTCTGTGTGATCTCTGCGTCCTCCAGGGAAAGGACATCTTTGTTTCTGACCCCTCGCCCATCTTCTCCAGCTATATCTGACTATATTTCTAGGGCAGCTGTAGTAATAGAGTACAAATGCATTGGCTTGCAGGCACTCAGATTTGAGCTTTCACAGTTCTGGAGGCCCAAAGTTCAAAGACAAGGCATGAGCCAGGGCACAGTCCCCACCAACCTGTGTGAGGATTCTTCTGAATCTCTGATCCCAGCATTCCTTGGCCACTGCCAGTATCTCCTGTGTTCACCTTCTCTCTAAGTGTATTGTTCCTCCACAGTACTGGGGCTTGAACTCTGGGCCTGTGCACTGTCCCTCAGCTCTTCAGCTCAAGGCTAGTGCTCTACCACTTGAACCACAGCATCACTTCCGGCTTTTTCTGCTTATGTGGTGCTGAGGAATCGAACCCAAGGCCTCATGCATGCAAGGCAAGTGCTCTACCACTGAGCCACCTTCCCAGCCCATCCCTTAGCTTTTATACCCAAGACTGGTGCTCTACTGCTTAAGCCACAGCTCTGCCTCTGGCTTTTTGCTGGTTAATTGGATATAAAAGTCTCATAGACTTTCCTGCCTGGGCTGGCTTGGAACAGGATCCTCAGATCTAAGCGTCCTGGTGAGCCAGGATTCCAGGTTTGAGCTACTGGAGTGAAGCTCTTTGTGTGTGGTTGGAGGTCCAGCCTGTGCCAGGAAGATCACGTGTTAACTAATTCCCTCTGCACTAAATGAGGTCGTGTTCTGAGGGACCGGGGTTAGGACAGTGCGGGTTTGTGGAGGGTATGGTTGAACTTGGCCGCTGACACCCTGGCATTCTTCTTGGAGTGTATACCACTAAATTAGACGCATCTCTTCTGTGCAGTGGGTGACTCATTCGATCACTTATTGCCCTTGTTTTTGGTTATTTGTGTTTTTGGTGACATTGCTTGGTGCTTGTGGAAAAGCACCTGGAGGAGGAAGAAACTGATTCTGATAGAAATGATTCAAACAATCAAAACGAGGAGATACGGAAGAAGTGTGCAAGTTCTTTGTGAGGTGCAGCCGTGGGGCCACAGGGCGGCGAGGTGAGTTCAGGTCCTCAGCACCTCGGATGGAGACAGAGACGAAGGTTCTACACTCAGAGCCAGCGCTCTCTTCTGTCCATGGCTCATTCACTCTGTGCTGCACGGGCCCCTTGAGGGACTTGTGCTAAGATGATGGACCGGGAAGCAAGGCACAGCACCTTGTGCCTCAGGGAATCCCGGTGCCCGTCCACCTGCTTCTATAGCCCTGTCGCTCTGGCAATGATGAACCTCTGGCAGGGCCACTGTTTTGGGAGGAAACGCAGCTTTATCCATAGTTCTCTCTTTCCTCCTGCCCAGAGTAGATTGGAGGCAGAGTGGAGAAGTAGAAAATGGCATTAAATCACTGACAAGCTCCAAACAGGAAACCTAGCTATTTTTTGCTGTTACAACGTAGAAATATCTGGAATCTGGGCCTACCTAGGTCCCTCTAATTCCTCTAAGATGATGCCCAGAGCCTGCCTGGCATTCTTGAGGGACGGTGTCTTGGCCTGAGGATTTCTGTGTCTCTTCCTCCCGAGGCTCAAAGCGCTGCTCCTGCAGCAGTTCGGGTAGAAGCAAGCATGGGGGTTCTCCGCAGGCCAACCCTCTCCGGCCTGCCCCAAACCTACCTGTGGGCTCTGTCATGGGGCAAGAAACGTGGTGCCAACCAGAGAGGCCCACATAGTGCTGAGCACTGGGGAGCCTCAGTGAAGCACGGTGAGGCGTGGTGAGACAGACATGATGAGAGGCCACGGGGAGACACAGAGAGACACGGGGAGAGGCCACAGGGAGAGGCCACGGGAAGACACGGGGGGAGACATGGGGAGAGACCACAGGGAGGCATCAGGAGACACGGGGAGACACGGGGGAACACAGGGAGACATGGGGAGAGGCCACGGGGAGACACGGGGGGAGACATGGGGAGAGACCACAGGGAGGCATCAGGAGACACGGGGAGACACGGGGGAACACAGGGAGACATGGGGAGAGGCCACGGGGAGACACAGAGAGACACGGGGAGAGGCCACAGGGAGAGGCCACGGGGAGACACGGGGGGAGACATGGGGAGAGACCACAGGGAGGCATCAGGAGACACGGGGAGACACGGGGGAACACAGGGAGACACGGGGGAGACACGGGGGAACACGGGCAGACACGGGGGAACACGGGAAGACACGGGGGAACACAGGGAGACATGGGGAGAGGCCACGGGGAGACATGGAGAGACACGGGAGACACTGGGAGACACAGGGGGAGGCCACAGGGAGCCATGGTGAAGCACGGTGAGGTGTGGTGAGACAGACATGATGAGAGGCCACAGGGAGACACGGAGGAACATGGGGAGACACAGGGAGACATGGGGAGAGGCCACAGGGAGACACGGGGAGACACGGGGGGAGACATGGGGAGAGACCACAGGGAGACATCGGGAGACACGGGGGAACACGGGAAGACACGGGGAGACACGGGGGAACACAGGGAGACATGGGGGAACACAGGGAGACATCGGGAGACACGGGGGAACACGGGGAGACACGGGGAGAGACCACGGGGAGACATGGGGAGACACGGGGGAACACGGGGAGACACGGGGGAACACAGGGAGACACGGGGGAACACGGGGAGACACGGGGGAACACAGAGAGACATGGGGGAACACGGGGAGACACAAGGAGACATGGGGAGACACGGGGAGAGACCATGGGGAGACACCGGAGACACTATGATAGGCCATGGAGAGACACAGGAGACACTGGGAGACATGGGGAGAGGCCACAGGGAGACACAGGGGACACGGGGAGACACAGACACGATGAGAGGTCATGGGGAGACATGGGGAGACACAGGGGGGGACACAGACATGATGAGAGGCCATGGGGAGATACGGGGAGACATGGGGAGACACGGGGAGACACAGGGAGACACGGGGAGACACAGGGAGACACGGACACGATGAGAGGCCACGGAGAGACACAGGGAGAGGCCACGGGGAGACACGGGGAGAGGCCACAGGGAGAGGCCACGGGAAGGCACAGTGAGGCACGGCCCTGACATTGGCAGCAGGAAGGGAGCCTTTAAGACATTATGCTACATGAAAGAAGCCAGGCACAGAAAGACAGCCAAACATGCTCACTCAGGTGTGAGTCCCGCCACAACCTCGAGCGCTGCTCACACAGGTATGAGTCCTGACACAACCCTTGAGCGCTGCTCACACAGGTGTGAGTCCTGACACAACCCTTGAGGACTGCTCACACAGGTGTGAGTCCCGCCACAACCTCGAGCACTGCACACACAGGTGTGAGTCCTGACACAACCTCGAGCGCTGCTCACACAGGTGTGAGTCCTGCCACAACCTCGAGCACTGCTCACTCAGGTGTGAGTCCTGCCACAACCTCGAGCACTGCTCACACAGGTGTGAGTCCTGACACAACCTCGAGCGCTGCACACACGGGTGTGAGTCCCGCCACAATCTCGAGCGCTGCACACACAGGTGTGAGTCCCACCACAACCTCGAGCACTGCTCACACAGGTGTGAGTCCCGCCACAACCTCGAGTGCTGCTCACACAGGTGTGAGTCCTGCCACAACCCTTGAGCACTGCTCACACAGGTGTGAGTCCTGACACAACCCTCGAGCGCTGCTCACTCAGGTGTGAGTCCCGCCACAACCTCGAGCGCTGCTCACACAGGTGTGAGTCCCACCACAACCTCGAGCGCTGCTCACACAGGTGTGAGTCCCGCCACAACCTCGAGTGCTGCTCACACAGGTGTGAGTCCTGACACAACCTCGAGCGCTGCTCACTGAGGTGTGAGTCCCACCCCAGTCCTCACACGCTGTACATACAGGGCTGTGCAGCTCTTTCTCTGAGCTATGCTTTGCATTCTTGCAGATTTACGGAGTGCTTTGGGGAGGGAATCTCAGTTTCCCTCTCATGGCCTGTCTTTCCTCTCCAGTCCCCCATGGCTGGCCCCGTGTGCCCGCTGTGGCCACGCCTCAGTGGAGCTCCTCTCTCTTCCCCACCAGCACCAGAGCTCCCGGAGGGCAGCAGGGCTGTGCTGGGTCCCCAGGGGCCTCGGTGTGACCCGGGCTGGGCACTCTGTCTCTGCACCTCACGCGGCTCAGTCATTAGTTCACTCATCCAGAAGCCCAGGATGGAAGAGAAGGCATCAGTAATCCATCTGCAGGGCCACACGTGTGGAAGGTGAAGATGGGTGTCCTGCAGCTGCCGCCTCAAAGGGCACCCCAGAAATGCCGCTGACATTTCTCCATTATTCATTGCTTCCTTCCCAGGTGCCCGCGCCCTGCTGGGCGCGCTTCACAAACGGAGGCTATTTTTAAGCGTGTCCTTTCCCAGGCAACCGTCCTGTCTCTCTTGGGGATCCTCGTTACTTCCCCGGCAGTGGATAAAACCCGTGTTTGGGGACAAGCGATGGGAGGGAAGCGGACTCTCGCCGGGAAGGAAGGGGATGTAAAAATGTCACAGGCCGTTAAAAGCAGCACTGCTTTTGCTGTTCTCCTGGCCAGCCTGCCGGTGGCTGAGTGAGCACCTCCAGGGATGGTTTGCAAGCACCAGTGCCTGCTTCTCCGGGTGACCTCTTCCGCCCTCGTCGGGCCTGGTGTGTCAGCACGGCTCCAGAGCCGGCCTCTCCGTGGCCTCTGCACCGGCTCACCTCTGCCCGCGGCCCCGGGCCTCCCCTCCCGGCCTCCTCGCCTCACCGTGCATGGCCACCCAGTGCCACTGTGCAGCCTCCATTTCTGGGAAATTCCTAATTACGCTACAGATGGCAGGGCAGGCGGGGTGGGGGCACACACCCCTTGCTCCGGGGTTCCCGCAGGCCCCCCACAAGACAGGCACCCACTGAGGCAGGTCCTTCCTTCCGGTGCCCACACCCCCACTCAGCCAGACCTCTGGGAAGGGGCCTAGGAAGTGTCATAATTCATTTTTGGAATTCCTGGTGCTGAAAACAGAACCATATCCAATACAGCTTGAAAGTGGGGACATGATCATACAGGATACACCCTGCTTGGGCAATCCCTAACATGTCTGCACCCCTCTTTTCTTATGAAACAGGGAAACATCTAGAAAGCTATTAGTGAGAGAGAGAAAACTGTCCTTTAAGACATCAGTATGGTCTAAGGGCCGGCACACCGCTGGGGAAAATCGGGTGGAAAATACCGTCAGTCTTGCAGGTCCTGTGGCCTCCACCCTCGTGTCTGCACCCAGCCTCTGGTCGACACACAACCACGGGCTCGTGTTGCAGCTGCCGCATGAATGAGGCTGCAGGGCTGGTTCTCAGCTGGCCTCAGTTTACAAAAGCAGGTGCGGGCAGAATCAGCCATGGGAAGTAGGTTGAGGAACAAGAGCCAACGCTGGGTGGTCACTGCACATGGGGTGAGCTGCCCAGGAAGCAGGGATGTGTTAGGCTCCCAGGCTTTGGGAAGGCTGGAGCAGCCCCTGCACAGGAGCCGGTGATGCACAAAGTGGGGCTGTGTGGTGGACACACTGCGTGTAGGTGTGGAGGGTCTCGGGGTGGACATGGTCATCAGCGGCTGGTCATTCTTGTAGATGAAGTCTCGTGGTGGGTGTGGATGGGGAGGTACGGGTGGCCTACGCTGGTAGGTTTCTAGGTAGCTGTGGAAACTTGCAGTCTGCACAAGCCATACGAGAAGAAAGTCAACACGAAACACTGATGAAGAAGACAGGAAGGAAAATGGCGCCAGCAAATGATAAAGAGTGCAGGGACAGCATACAGAACCTAAGAGTCCCAGAGAACTGAGGAGCATGGAGAGTGGGCAGAGGGCCAAGGGGAGGGGCTTCATTTAGGAAGAAAGGGTTCAAGAGTTACCAACCCCAGGAGCAGCCCAGGACATGGGCTGCACGGAGAGGGGCGTGGGGAACAGAGCAGGTGGCACAAGCAGACCAACTCTGGGCACTTGAGGTCACATTTGGGCAAACAGATCTTCACTGCATTTCTCTTCTTCAAATAAGACATCAGCTTTAAGAGACAGATAGGATTTCCATTTGGGGCTTTATATTTTTTTTCCCCACCAGGATGGATTAATGCTGTGCTAATAAGACTCCTTTAAAGCTCCTTCAGATGATGAACCCCAAACACTCCCATTTGGCTTCATTAAAATGCTCTATGAAGACAAATCATCGCAAACTTGGTTGGATGTCTCCAGCTGTGGCCGGGAAGCTCCTCTGTGTGGATAACTAGGCACTTTCCACGTGTCTGCTTTAATTTGCCATGGGTCTTTCTATCACCAGAGTGTGCCGTTCTCCTTCACATGGTGCCCCACCCTGCTCACCCCCCATGAGATCAGGGGACATGCTGTCATGGTGACTGGGGTCTTCAGCTCCCCCGGGAGTCCCCCCTGTACCCCCCCTCCCCGCACACTCCCATCTGCACTGGGAATGTGGCAGATGCAATTGAGGAAATGAACTTAAAATTTTACCTTTACTTACTTTAAATATAAATAGCCACACAGGACTGGGAGATCAAGATAAGAAATTGATATTCCAGGGGCTGGGAAGGTGGCTCAGTGGTAGAGTGCTTGCCTCACATGCATGAGGCCCTGGGTTGGATTCCACAGCACCACAGAAGCAGAAAAAGCCAGAAGTGGCGCTGTGGCTCAAGTGGTAGAATGCTAGCCTTGAGCTAAAGAGCTGAGGGACAGCGCCCAGGCCCAGAGTTCAGGCCCTACAACCAAAAAAATAAAAAAGAAGAAGAAGAAATTGATATTCTATGCCCTCATAGGAAGACGTGCACACGCATCCTTTTGGTTAAAATTTCTGTAGGGATCTCTTTACGGGAGACAGAGGCCCTGTAGGACGCTCCATAATTCCCTCCGCCCTCACGTGGAGTTGAGCGTACCGACTTTGACTGTTATTACCATGCGTATACAAAGGGCCCCGCTGGAGCGGAGAAGAGACACTTCATTCCGTCTCAAGGGTGTCAGACTGAGCAACTGCAGTGCTTCTTGAAGCTTCGTGAAGGATTAAAGGAGCTAAGGTGGGAGGGGAGTGGGGCCTCGTCAGCCCCTTCGGAGTCTGCCATGCAGAGCAGAGCCTCAGCCCCTGGGAGGATGGGGTGAAGAGCATTGTGTGGGCCCAGGGTTTGTGGTAGAACCCCAGAGAAGAGCAGGGGGCTGGGGAACTGGGGGCTGGGGGGGGCTGCTTCGGGCCCTCAATAACCTTTTTCAAGATGAGATGAAGTCGCTGGAGACGGATGCAGATGCAGGAGACATTCTCGAGGTGCTCTTTCGGATTGTTGCCCGGATGTGTGTGTGTGCTTTTCATCTTTGTGACTTCAGTCTGGAGAATGGACCCCAGGTATTTGGCTGAGGGATGGGGCTTTGGGGAGAATGGAAAGAAGGTCTCTGGGGATGACTCCAGCTGCTCCTCCAGAAAACAATGAAGGAGACAGAAGCTGGAAGAGGTAGCTTCCAGAATACACATCTCTCCTCTGGCCTGCCATAGGGGTAAGGCGGGTGTCCGTTTCCCACTCCCAGCTGAGCCCGGAAAGATGGGGTGAATGCAAGAGAGGTTTTTAAGGTCTTTGAACTCCAGTAGAGTTTGGTGTTTGATGAGATGTGGAAGAGGAGGCCGTAGGGAAGAGGCCTCCAGGAGGGAGGCAGACAGGGCCCTGGAAACAGATCGTGAGGAAGGAGAGCTGCACATGCCTGCCTTTGATACGGTTCCTTCCTGGGCAATGGTTGACAGATGAGAGGAGATGGCTTGGAGAACACCTGGGATTTTATCTGTATGCTGGGCATAGGGGAAAGCCAGATGAGGAAAACAAGGAGAGTTGCTGGCAGCAAACCCCAGGGACTCAGTTGGTGGCACAGGCATGGCTGGCCTGAGTCCCCAAGTCTGCGCTGTTAGCGGGGTCCCTGGGTCCACACTGTTAACTGGGTCCCCAGTTCTGCACCGTTAGCCAGGTCCCCGAGTCTGCACTGTTAGCCAGGTCTCCATGTCTGCCCAGCGGTTAGCTAGGTCCCCGAGTCCACACCATTAGCCGGGTCTCCATGTCTGCCCAGCGGTTAGCCAGGTCCCCGAGTCCGCACCGTTAGCCGGGTCTCCATGTTGGCACTCAGGAGCTGTCACTAACCGGAATGCACAGGAATCTATGGAGCTTGAGGGAGGCACTGGGTAGAGAAACATGGGAAGGGAGAGAAACACTCACAGCTTTCCCGGTGCCCCAGGAGAGAAGAGCCGCTCCTGGCTGGCACTGCGGGAGTGTGCGGGAAGACCAGGATGGCACAGCTCTATCATCACAAAGCTGAGGGTGTGGGGCCTGAGATGGGCCCCACAGGAGAGGTCAGGCCAGCGGGAGAGCTAGTGATTGATGGGAGGGCTTGGCCGGGTGCAGGGGGAAACCCAGGAGACGTGTCAGGAGGCACTGGGCATCTCTGGTTACATCTGTGAGACTGGATAATGAGTGAACTTCGGGAGGGAAGGGGTAGAGTAGTACCCGTGGTACGTATGGGTCTAGGGTATAATAGTACATATCTCTTAGTGGGAAATCAACCAAGAGAATTACCAAATAGCAATGCCTTCTGGTCTCTCCACACGTGTACACACACACACATACATAGAGACACAGGCACACACACCACCACTTCCTTTACACACATACATGCACACACAGATGTGCATACACACACACTCCCAACTTCCCTTCATCTGAGGCCGCCCTGTCTGTGAGGTGAGATGTGTCACCATCTGGGGCCAGATGGCGAGGCTGTGACCCTCAGGGGCAGACGCAGCTTTGGGGATGGCGCCTACGCCCGACTTCCGTGTTGTTTGTTTCCTGATTTCTCTGTGGGTGGGAGCACACGTCACTGTCATTCTTGAAGCATTCCTTGGGATCCGCTCATAAGGACATGGCCCCAGCCTGTGCCCACACTCTCCAGTTTTCCGCCACGTCTCTGGAATTTGTGTTTCCCAAATGGTCCAGTTCACAAATGAAGTCATGCCAGTTTTATGGAAAATCATTTTCTTCACTAAACTCTACCTTCAACAGGACAACTGTCCATGTAGCCCTTGTTTAACAAAAGTAAAACCAGCAGCATGTAGCT